GGCATGGTGGTGCGTGCCTATAATCCCAGCTACTTAGGAGGCTGAGGCAGGAGAATTGCCTGAACCCAGGAGGCGGAGGTTGCGGTGAGCCGAGATCGCGCCATTGCACTCCAGCCTGGGTAACAAAAGCGAAACTCTGTCTCAAAAAAAAAAAAAAAAAAAAAAAAAAAAAAAAAAAAAGAGACTGGGTTTTGCCATGTTGCCCAGGCTGGTTTTGAACCCCTGAACTCAAGCTATTCACCTGCCTTGGCCTCCCAGAGTGCTGGGATCACAGGCGTGAGCCACTGCTCCTGGCCCATTTTCGATTCCTGAGTGTCTTTGGCTTTGGTATCAAAGTAGTGCTGGCCTCATAGAATGAATTAAGAGTGTATTTTTTGATACTTGAGACAGATTGATGCTAATTATTTAAATGTTTGGTAGAATTCACTAATAAAACCGTCTGATCCAGTCCTTTTTCTTTTTGGGGAGAATTTTGATGACTGTTTCAGTCTCTTTAGTTGTATGGGTCTGTTAAGATTTTCTATATCTTGAGTCAGTTTTGGTTATGTATATGTTTCTAGGAATTTTCCATTGCATCTATGTTGTCTAGTTGGTGTATGGTTGTTCAGTATATTCTCCTGTAATCCTTTTTAATTCTGTGAGATGTAATATCCTCAATTTCATTTTTGGTTTTAGTTATTTGTATCTTCTTTTTTTCTTAGGTCTAAACCACAGGTTTGTCAATTTTGTTATTCTTTTCAAAGAATCACCTTTTGGTTTTGTTGATTCTGTTGTTGTTCTCTATTTCATTTATCTTCATCCTAGTCTTTATTTTCTTTCTTTTGCTTTGAATTTAGTTCTTTTTCTGTTTCTAAAGTATGAAGTTAGGTTATTGATTTAAACTCTTTCTCATTTCTTAATATAGATTGTTAGCAGCTCTAACTTTCCCTCTGAGTACTGCTTTCACCGCATCACATAAGTTTTGGTATGTTGTGGCCTTGTGTTCATTTCTCTCAAGGTATTTTCTAATTTCCCATTGGTTATTTAAGAGTGTGTTGTTTAATTTCCATACACTTGTGAGTTTTCCAGCTTTTCTGCTGTCATGAATTTCTAGCTTCTTTCCATTGTGGTCGATGAAGGTATTTTATGTGATTCTAGTCTTTCTAAATTTATCAAGATTTGTTTTGTGGCCTAACAGATGATCTGTCCTGGAGAATGTTTCTTGTACACTTGGTGAAAATATGCATGCTGCTCTTGTGGAATGGAGTATTCTTCATAGGCCTGACAGCTCTAATTGGTGTATAGTGTTGTTCAAGTTCCCTGTCTCCTCTTTAATCTCTGCGGAAGTTTTATCTATTACTTAAAGTGGGATATTGAAGTCTCCATTTATTATTGTAGGACTGTTTATATCTGCCCTCAATTCTTTCGGTATTTTCTTTATATATTTTGGGGCTCTGTTGTCTGGTACATATATTATTATAAATGTTATATCATCTTTTTGAATTGACCCTTTTGTCAGTGTATTATATAATGAACTTCTTTATCTCCTGTAACAGTTGTTGACTGTAAGTCACTTTTGTTTGATAGTAGTATAGCCATTCATTACAAGCATCCTTTTACTTTCAACCAGTTTTGTGTCTTTTGCTCTAAAATGAGTCTGTCTTACAGACGGCATATAGTTCAGATCATGTGTTTTGTTCATTCTGCCAGTCCGTCTTTTAATTGGTGAGTTTAATCCAATTCTATTTCAGTGATTACTGGTAAGCAAGGACTTAGGCCATTTTGCTATTTGTTTTCTCTACCTATGTCTTACATCTTTTGTTCTTCATCTCCTCTAATACTGCCTTTGTGATTTTTTTCCTAGTGTGCCATTTTCATGCTTTCCTCATTTCTGTTTCTGTATACAATTATTTTCTTAGTGGTTACCATGGGGATTATGGTTAACATTCATACATTTTTAACATTCTAGATTGAGTTAACCCCAGCTTAAATTTTAAAAACCCAGCTTGTATGGTTTCAGTTGAGGCCCCAATCTTAGCATCATGCAGCATATCCATGTAAGGGAACTGCACTGTACCCTCAAATCTAAAATATAAATAAATAAATAAATAAATAAATAAAAGCTTTGCTAATGACAATAAAGGAAAAAGAAGCTCTGCTTCTTCACAGCTCTGCCTGCCCCCCTTTATGTTGTTATGGTCACAAATTGTATCTGTACATTGTGTGCCCACTAATATAGATATATAATTAATTTATGCATTGTCTTTTAAGTCATATAGGAAACAAAAAGAGAAGTTAAAAATAAAAAATACAATAACACTGGTTTTTACATTTATTCATGTAGTTAGCTTTATTGGAGTTCTTGTTTCTTTATATGGCTTTGAGCTATTGTCTAGTGTCCTTTCATTTCAGCCTGAAGGGACTCCCTTTAACATTTATTTTAGGACTGGTGTACTAGCAGTAAATGCCCTCTGCTTTTGTTTACCTAGGAATGTCTTCTTTCTCCACTTTCGAAGAATAGTTTTGCAGGGTATAGAATTCTTGGTTGATAGGGGTTTTTTTTTTGCTCAACACGCTAAATATATTAACCCATTTCCTTCTGGTCTGCAACTTAGCTGGGTGGTTTTGGCTGATAGTCCCTCACAAGTTTGCAGTCAAACTAGTTGGCAACAGCTGCAGTAATTTTAAGGTTGTGCTACAGCTCAGTAATCCACGTCTGAGCTCAGCACATGAGCGTAGGCAGCCCTCACTTCTTCACTGGCTGTTGGCTGGAGCTTCCATTCCTCACACCTGGGCCTCTCCACAGTGCTGCTCACAACATGGCAACTGGCTTCCCACAAAGCAAGAGATCCACGAAGGAAAGACACCCTCCCTCACCACCAATGTTGTGATTGTTTTGTTCGTATTTTTGTTTTTGGATGCTTTTGGTATTATTTATATAACACTGAGATGATCATACTTTTTCTTGCACTGAGAGAGAGAAATTTGAACCATGGGTAATTCTTTAGTGGAGAGGAACTGATTTGCCTTTCCCTAAAAGCATTGCCACTAATTGCTTTACTCAGCCTTAGAAATGGAAGTAAGAGACTTCAAGAAACTTCACACAGCCTTGGAATGGAACAGCACACCCTTATAGATGACCTTCTCTTCTCCCTCCTCCCTCATACATCTGTCCTTCCTGTTCAAAGAGACATGAAAATAAGCTTTCTGAGCATCTAGGACTTTTAAAATGTCACTGTAAACTACTTTCCCATTGATGGTCTGTTTTATGGAGGAAATGTGTCCTTTTTGATTAAAAACTCTGTGTGTGTGTGTGTGTGTGTGTGTATGTGTGTGTGTGTGTGTGACAGAGAGAGACACTTGAATAATTCTTCCTTAGGTCATATTCTTCACTCTGAAGACCCATCAGCTCTTTAGTGTACACCTGCGCTGCTTGAAGTACCATAGTAGGTTCAAAGGGGAGCGAAATCAGGAGTTGCATGAAACAATTCCCACTCTCTAGTAGCTTTTGGTATAAAGGGGGAAATATGAGAGAACCCCAGTGGGGGGAAAATACAAGACAGCATTTATGCCCCAGAGCAGTGGTCACCATAGTATTGATATAAGGCAGATGCTTACATTTTCCTTATGTAATCATATAAAAAGGAGATGGAAAATATGGAAGTGGCCAGGAAAGAAAATGAAAAATCTTTGTGCTTGTGTTAGTTTTTCAGACCTGGTAAAGTATTTCCAGCATAATTATGTTTGAGAACTTTAGATGTCCTGTTTGTAGAGCCAAAGTCTCACTTAGCCCCTCATTAAATAAGTGAGAATAAAATTGCCTATCAATAATCAGACAGTTTTATTCTCACTTATTTAATTATTGTTCCATATGAAAGGACCATTACGTCCACATTTTTTCTAATTTTGAAAAAGTAAATTAGGTTTGTATTTACAGTTTTATATCTGTTTTAAAATTATTTCAGTATTTATAGAGAGCTTCATAAAATGGATTAGCCATTGGCTCATGGTAAGAATAGTAATGCAAGCCGGTCTACCAGTATGCTAGCTACATTTTGTGTTTGAAGGTGGTAATACAGCTGGTGTTTCTTCTGCTTGAGTAGACGCTTCTGGAAGAAGAGGCTTGGAATAATCAGGAAGTCAGCCTCTTGCAAGATGGCCTGCCCTTAGCAATTGCATCTCTCCTCTGATGGACTATATAGGCAGGTTTTTAATATTCCATGTAAGGGTAGTTCTGCAGTCTCTGTGGATTATGATTGCAATTGCTCTGAAATAGAAGACTGTGTATGCAAGACATTTTCAACATCATTCTGGTCTTAAGCAGATTGTGGGTTGGAGCTTGACCTATAATATAAAAACAGTGGGCCAGGCCTGATGGATCATGCCTGTAATCCCAGCACTTTGGGAGGCTGAGGTGGGCAGATCACCTGAGGTCAGGAGTTCCAGACCAGCCTGGCCAACACAGTGAAACCACCCTGTGTCTTCTAAAAACACAAAAATTAGCCAGGCATGGTAGTGGGTACCTGTAATTCCAGCTGCTAGGGAGACTGAGGCAAGAGAATCGTTTGAACCTGGGAGACGGTGGTTGCAGTAAACTGAGATTGTGCCACTGCACCCAGCCTGGGCAGCGAGAACAAAACTACATCTCAAAAACAACAGCAACAGTGGGCTTGCCTCTGGGAAACTACCCCCACATCCTAAAATACATGGAAATCAGAAAGGGCAGCCTGTACCACATTTTTATACTTAGAAATTAAGTCATATTTTTCTTTTCGTATACATTATTAGACATATTTATAGATTCATATTTACTCCATGCAATTTAATAACCTCAACTAGGGCTTTACATTTTAGTTGCCCCTCCCCCAATGAAATCTATAATACTAACTCCCTTATTAATAATGTTCCATGTTTGAATATGTTGTCTTCTTTCTTCTTGACTACTACTATTAAACTTCTGGTTGTTTCATCCTTTTAATAAAAAATGAATTCTGAATTTTTATTTAATTTTTCTCTCCTAGACAGTTAAATCTCACACAGAAACAGATGAGAAGCAAACAGAAAGCCGCACCATCACCCCACCTGCTGCACCCAAACCAAAACGGGAGGAGAACCCTCAGGTAGGCCTATGTCTCCAAAGGCAAGGCCCCGGCTACAGTGTATAGTTTATTCTCATGTACCAGGAGGGGCACGTGCTCTCTGAATGAGGAAATGAACCTGATACTCATTTTCTTAGGCTCTTTTATTATTCAACAACATGATTGCCAAGTCAGATTGGTCTAGAGTGGAATTCTTAAGACTCTGATCTTGAGGGTCCATGCACTGGCACATAGGCATTTTGGTTGTATCAAAGAAAAAATTTTTTTAAGCGTTATTATTCTTCATATGCATGTTACAAATTCAGAATGTTAAGATGAATGATGATTTTCCCAGCTGTCCTATTACATTTCTAATTATTACTGTGTTCTGTTTGTCTCAGCCAACATTTTTAAGATGTCCAGTTCACTCAGCTAATGTGTATTTATATTATCGATTACAGTTATTAAATGTACGTTTTTGGTATAACCATTATATTGCATCAGAACCCCAAATCCCAAATGAATCAGTAGCTCAAAAGTAATTCATTGAAGCATAAAAGTAGGGATGAAAATAGTAACATCTATACTACAATTTAGGATAGAATTATAAACATAAATAGCAAAGAAGACCCTGATACAAATATAGAATGTGAATCTGTATGTCCTTAGACAAACGAATTTTTTTTAGTTTGATGTTTTGGCATAAGCAGCTATAAATGGAAAATGTAGACAGGTAATATGATGATGAATATCTGACAGTTAGATTTCATTTGACCAGTAATTCACTTGCCTCTGTCCTCAGTGCATTCTTTGTAATGAAACCATGTGAAATGGTGGCATGAAGCCATCAAAGCTTCATGTCATTTTTTTTTTTAAGCAGTAATTTATTGAGCCATTCCAGATTTCCTAAAACAAGTACAAAATGTAAGTCTTTCTGATATGAAATGAATGAATTTTTAATTTTATGTTTAAAAAGAGGACTAAGCCGGGCGCGGTGGCTCAAGCCTGTAATCCCAGCACTTTGGGAGGCCGAGGTGGGTGGATCACGAGGTCGAGAGATCGAGACCATCCTGGTCAACATGGTGAAACCCCGTCTCTACTAAAAGTGCAAAAAATTAGCTGGGCATGGTGGCACGTGCCTGTAATCCCAGCTACTCAGGAGGCTGAGGCAGGAGAATTGCCTGAGCCCAGGAGGCGGAGGTTGCGGTGAGCCGAGATCGCGCCATTGCACTCCAGCCTGGGTAACAAGGGCGAAACTCCGTCTCAAAAAAAAAAAAAAAAAAAAAAAAAAGAGGACTAAAATTTGAGCCAAAAAGAAGTACTAGTCACAAACATTGCTGAGGAACTTGTGAAATCATCAAAGAATTAATGACAAGTATTATACTTTGAGGAGGAAAAATTGAGCAAAATTTCCCTGTCAAAGGAAACTGAAGAATCCAACCTGGGCAACACAGTGAGACTTTGTCTGCAAAAAAATAAACAAAATTAGCCAGATGTGGTAGCGCACGCCTGTAGGCCTAGCTACTCGGGAGGCTGAGGTAGGAGGATCACTTGAGCCCAGGAGGTCTAGGCTGCAGCGAGCTGAGATGGTGCTGGTGCCGCTGCACTCCAGCCTAGGTGATGGAGCGAGACCCAGTGTGGGCAAGCGAGTACCATCATGTGTAGTAGCAGATATTTCACCTTCTAGTTGGACAGAATCACAGTCATAAACAAAGTAAATTAGCTCTTAGCATATGTGAGATACATATATGAGGTAAAATTTCTTGACAGCTTTTTAGTCTTTCATCAAAAACTTTTCCACAAGAGAGGAAATATTTTTTTACTTAATAATTATTTTGTGAGCTTGATCTAAACTGGCAAAGATGATTTGGGTGTGAGTGGCTAAGAAGAGTGTTGTTACTTTCTTCAAAGAAGGCGAATCTGAATGTCAGTCTATACACTGCTTTATCAAGAGAACAGCTGGGGGAAAGCCTCTTGATCTTGATTATATTTCTAAGGAATAGTGAAAATTAGGAATGTAGTCAGTTGGCAGCCATAAAGTGTATCTCATTTCAACATAGTTTAGAAAACAGGAAGGTCAGGCTGGGTGTGGTGGCTCATGCCTGTAATCCAAGCACTTTGGAGGCCAAGGCAGGCAAATCACTTGAGGTCGGGAGTTCAAGACCAGCCTGACCAACATGGTGAAACCCCATCTTAAAAAAAAAAAAAAAAAAAAAAAACAGGAAAGTCCAAGACTGCTTTTTCTTACCAGACTAATCTGGCCGTCAAGGGGATAGGTGCCTATCTAAGTTTTTTTGAAATAAGAAATAATATAAAAACATTTCTTCAGGACTCTGAAGATACCAGTAAAGGACATTTCTGTGTTCTCAAGTGGCTCTCTCAAGAAGTTTATCTTCAAATAGGCTGAACCTATCACTTCAGGCCAAAGCAGTGTAATATCAAGAATAAGATGTCAGGACTTTTAAAGATCAAACTGTGGTATAAATAACTCTACAGGAGTATGTCTTTTACAATTGAAGGTGTACTTTATTCATCAGAGAAAGAAATTGATAATGTATTATTTGGCATATTTAGAAACTGCATGCAGTAGTACAACAGAAAATGAAGACACGCTTTTCAGAACACATGCAAACAAAGAAAAGAGTAGAAATCAATCGATTGCCCTCTCTGGCTTGAAGAGTCTTAGCATTGCATCTTTAGGACCCAGCATTTTCACCAGCGTAGCTTCTGAAGGAGCCCTAAGAGTGATCTTCAGAGAGAAATTGCTCCATAATTTTTAGGCTCATGTGTGATTGAAAAATCATAGTATTCAGCAGAACCACCTGTCATCATTCCTAAAAATCATTTAGCTGTGAGTTAGCATTGTGGCAGTATAAATGTGAGAAGCTGTGGCCTAGTCATGACAAGTGAAACACTCAGAACTTGGAGCTTGTTAAATGGGAAGCTCTTTAAAACCCTCTGCATGTTTTGTGAGTATGAAATCCTGTTCTTTTTAAGAGGATTTTTCTGCAGGGTGGGGAACTCAGATCACACAGATACTGATTTCTGTCATTGAGAAAGGAGATGTAGGCCCCAGTCCTTCTCTTTTGGCCCTGTTAAACAGAGAGCCTTGAGAGGAAGGTTTCTAACCTGTGGCCCATGGGCCACATGCAGCCCAAGATGGCTTCAAATGCGGCCCCACACAAATTCGTAAACTTTCTTAAAACATCGTGAGATTTTTATTTGTGATTTTTTTTTAAAGTTCATCAGCTATCATTATTAGTATATTTTATGTGTGGCTCAAGACAGTTCTTCTTCCAATGTGGCCCTCACTGAAGGAAGCCAAGAGCTTGGACACTCCGCTAAAGAGGATATCCGTGGCTCCTTGGAGAATGCCTGCTCTTTGTGCATTCAAGTGACCCGCCCCCTGGCTGGCTTTCCTTGGTATCTTAGTGGGAACTGGCAGTTGGCTTTGTGAGAACCCAGACTGAAGTATATTCTTCTTTTGTTTCTCTGGCACAGAAACTTGCCTTCATGGTGTCTCTAGGGTTGGTAACACATGACCATCTAGAAGGTAAGAAAAGATATTCTTGGCACTGTCTTTTTTTCTGGCCCACAGCTTTGTTCCTGAAAATGGTGTCTGATTAAATTCCTGGAATAGAAAATTGGAACACAAATAGAGGATGATTCAGCCAGTGTAGACTTATTTCCTTTAGTGGGAAAATTGCCTGCCCTCTGTCTGATATTCTTGTCATTATCCACACAACTGTCCTGGGAAAACCTCCCCAGTTGCCTAAATTAAGGTGACTTCTGTTCATTTAGGGGAGCTCTTCTTTTTCTGAACAGCAGAAAGTAGCAAGTGCTCTTCTGACAAGTCTATATATTCTGGTCACTCCAGGTTATCACAATATTGAGAACAGTTACAAAGCTGTACCTGTCCTGGTTATTTAATTAAAGAATGATGAACTTTGATTACTCAGTTTAAGTCTTACGGATAAAGCTCATTCAGACCTATATATACAGCAGTCTAAAAATAAATCAGGACAACTCGTTTACAAATGTTGTCTATTGTTAAACTCTCAACAGAGAGCCACATGTGGGACAGCATGGTCTTGCAGGGGAGAGTAGATGGTTCTACATATTTGCTTCCAATAGTGTGCTTGCCTCTGTTGAGGCTTTGGTGAGACAGAGGTGTCCCTATTTCTGATTTCTTATGGGAAAAGCAATAGTTAAAACATTGAAGTTAAGTTTTTTAGGTTCTCCATGCCTCTCTTCTAATCAAAACCTTTTCTTCTCTCAAGAAATCCAAAGCAAGAGACAAGAGCGAAAAAGAAGAACAACAGCAAATCCGGTCTACAGCGGAGCAGTCTTTGAGCCAGAGGTACTACTGGCCAGTACCTGGCCCTTCCCTCACTGTTTCAGTTTTCTTTATGACTTGCCCAGTGCCTCCCCTCTGAAAACCTGCTGAAGAGCGGCACGCTGATTGTACTTGGTCAGTTCTGTGAAGTGGCAGATTTTTTTTTTTTTTTGCCTTACCATTATTATTAGTCACTTCTTCCCCTTAGGTTTTTTCCCCTAAGTTTCAGCAGATACCCTCCTACCTTGAAATTTTAATTCATCCTGACTTCAATACAACTTCATTGGCAACAGAGGCAGACTTCTCTGAAATAGTCTCTGAGAGCCAAGTACATATAATAAAACCCTTGAGCACTGAGACCTTAGGATGATTAGCACTAACTAGTCAGCATGTTGACGGTCATGCTGTGCTTGGCCTTTAGCTTGTGCCAGTATTAGTTATTACCACACTATTCAACCAGTCACCTTTCCTTCTTCAATCCTCAAAGCGTAAGAAGAGTGCAGTCACATACCTAAACAGCACAATGCACCCTGGGACCCGGAAGAGAGGTGAGGACCTTTTTTTATCACTCCCTTGCTGCTGTTACTTTTGCTTTCTGTGTGTGTTTCTTCTCCTTCCCTCCTCCCATCATTATGGGACCTAACTCCTCTATCCCTTGAAAATAGTTTTGTTGTTCTCTGAGAATGGGAGAGAAAAGAGAATGAGATTTCTTATTAGAGTTCTGTATGCTGACTCAAAAGCTGACTTTCCTAGGATTCTGGCAAAGCTGACTCAGGGGAATGGCTTAATGTAGCATTTCTGCCCCAAGCCTGCCGGGCCATCCATGAATAGCACAGTGAACAGAACACCATGTAAAAGGAAGCATTTGAGCGTCATTAAGCGAACAGAGCGCTGCCGTTGCCAGGGTGTTCCTAATAGTGTCTTGGTCGTCCTGCTGCCAGCGAGGCCAGAGTGTGACTCTGAGTTTCTTGGAGCTGCAAACTTTCCAAGAAGGAAAGAGGTAGCCACACTTGAGAACTTAGAATCTTTGAGAAGAGGACATCTCTAACTAAGGAAGAAAAGATCACTGTCAAAACAGGCTCCCTAAAGAACAGATTCCTAAAGCGCTCCAATGCCGTATTTCAGACTTTCCCATGGGCATTCCAGAAACTCACTCTTAAGCAGAGCAGAAAAAATAGCAGTAGCAGCATCTCTCACCATGCAGGTCTAAATAGGTCTTAACAGCTCGGGATTTGAGCTTGTAGATAAGGAACTGAAATCGTTCTTTGATGTCAGTAATACATCCCAAGGTCTTTTTCTCCACGTGGTAATGTGTCCCTGAATTACAGTTCCAGGCTAGAAAGGTTGCAGAGTGAGTGGAGTAGCATACTAATTTTTGCGTATGCACACAGTCTCAGAGCTATTGGAAGCTCAGGAGGTCATCCTGACCCTTTGTCTGCCTTAGGCAGGACTACACTATTACCATTCCCTCCCCACAAAAGAGATTTCATACCCACCCTTAGCAACCCATTCTGTTGTTTCATCAGTCCTGTCTTTCAAGTACTCAAAAATATTTAGATGGGAAACCCTAAGTCGTTGTGTTATATTGATTCCTGGGCCACAGTAACCAGTACTGTAAGTTATTTTTGTTTTGTCTTGTGTTTGTTAATTTTTTTTTTTTTAGTGACCCCTGATGCAGTTCTTGGAAAGGAGCCCCCCAGCCAGAGGCCACAGTCATTGGTCTGTGATAGTGGGGAGTATCTGCTAAGAGGACAGGGGTTAAATGAGCCAGAAAGACCTTGGCATCTCTTGCCAAGGTCAGAGGATAAAAGCCTGTGTCCACGGTGCCTGGGATATGCCTTTCGTGGGTAAACAAGAGAGCCTTCATCTTGTTCTTCCCCTTCCAGCAGCACTGAACTCCCTAGAAAAGACAAACCAGTAAGATCTGGCTTTGTACTGTAGGCATCACCAATTGAACACAAAGAGGTAATATTTTTGTAACATCTGACAGAATCATAATTCTTGTGCATAATCCTCATATAAATTATAACTGTTGGCAAAGTCATGATCCTACATACCATTTACCAGTGCTTATCGGCAGTTTTGTACCTCTCTGGCTCTTTTTTTCCCTTTGGTGTGTTGGGCATATACTTTTGATCACTCACAGCTTAGAAGCTATGACCTTGGCCCTTAGAAGACAAGGGCCCTGACTTAGTTATATGGTAAGGCGAGAGTGGCTGACCTAGACTTTCTGTACCCATGCGGCTCATTTAAGATCCTTTGTAGCCTTAAGGCTTAAGCCACAATGCTTTTATACCAATCAGGTCTCTCAGTTGTGCTGATGGCAGGGCCTTTCCTGAGACTTTTAAACAGCCCCAATTTTTAGACATGTAGTCCATCAGAAAGCTTGTAATGTAAAATGGGGGAACAACTGCCAGTCAACTGGGGAGAATATCCAGGAACAGAAATACTTAAATTCATTGCCAAGCCCAGAGCATCTTTCAAGCTCTTAGGTTTCAGCTACTCCCAGGACATACCTCTCAATAGCTCTGACAGTAAGGGGTAAGAATAGTTAACTTGAATTTTGCCTCCTCACTTTGCCTGTCTCCACCCTTATAAAATGCAGACAGAAGAGAGAATGAAAAGCAGAAATCCTAAATAAATCAGTTTGTGGGAACTGAGAATCATTAATAGTATTGTGAGAATGCTGATTGCAGAGAAACCTTAAAGAACAGCATCCAAAAGATAAGAAAAATTAAAATAAACTCATTCCTGGCTCTGGCTCCCACTGGGCTTTGACATCTTGGCTCTTGCACTAGAAATCTCAGATTGCAATAGTCCAGGAACTTCTCCACAGTCTGCCCAAGGCGAGGTCTTTCTACATAAGCCAGCACCTTCTGTCATTCTCCAGAGCTCTCTTATCCTCCCTTCTCTTGAGAGTCATATAGTTGTTTCTAATGACATTTAAATCTTTGCTTCTCTTCCTTCCTTTGGGACTGTTGTATTAACCTTCTGTCTGCTACCTCACTTCCTTTTCCATGCTAGCCAATGAGGAACACTGGCCAAAGGTATGTAAGACCGTTTTCCCCCCTCTTTCCCTCCCCCTTTTTCCCTTTTGTTCCCTTCTCTTGGTATATAGGTCGTCCTCCAAAATACAATGCAGTGCTGGGGTTTGGAGCCCTTACCCCAACATCCCCCCAATCCAGTCATCCTGACTCCCCTGAACATGAAAAGACAGAGACCACATTCACTTTCCCTGCACCTGTTCAGCCTGTGTCCCTGCCCAGCCCCACCTCCACAGACGTAAGTAACTTGGGAAAAGCACACTCTCTTTCTGAGAGCTTAAATTGGGAAAAGCGTTATCATATGTTGTCTCCTTATCAACTTGCACCTTCTCGACTAACCCTGGAACAGCAATAAACCCTATAGAATGTTTTTTATGCCATGTAAGGCAGCTTTCCTCTGAGATTCCAGGCCTTCCATGTCCTTGAGAATCATGTTAAATATAACCTCATGGAGCTCAGCCAGCCGTCAGAGTCTGAATTTGATCTATTGTGAATGAGTTCTTAGAAAACAGATGGGGCGGGGAAGTCAGCTCATACAGTTGAGAGTTGTGCAGGTTTCTATCATCAGTGTTTTGGGAGTGGGGAAAATGGAACGAGGCATACAGTCTCCCAGCAGCCCTTGTTTGCTGCTTCAAATACAATTCCCGAAGTGGAAAGTTTTCTTTAGAGCAACTGTATTCAGCAGAGTTGATCAGAAACAGGTTCCTGGAAAACTGTCAAATACTTAGTAGGCCTTTACCCACAAACTGCAGGAATGTGGACTAGTGCTCTAAGTGTTTAAATGAACCTCAGGAAAGCTCAGAATTCACTCAGCAGATACTGAGCACTACTCTGCTGAGTAAGCGCTATCCTTGAGGTTGGGGACACGGCAGGGAGCAAAACTAACTCCCTGTCTTCAAGGGGCTCATCTGAAGAGGCAGATGATAAGAAAGTGAATATATAATATGTCAGGTAATAATAAGTGCTCTGAAGAAAAATGAGGCCAGGTGTGGTGGCTCACACCTGTAATCCTAACACTTTGGAAGGCCGAGAAGACGGATCATCTGAAGTCAGGAATTTAAGACCAACCTGGCCAACATGGCGAAACCCCGTCTCTAAAAAAACACAAAAATTAGCCGGATGTGGTTGGTGCGCTTCTGTAATCCCAGCTACTCAGGAGGCTGAGGCAGGAGAATCACTGGAACCCAGGAGGCGGAGGTTGCAGTGAGCCAATATTGCACCAGTGCACTCCAGCCTGGATGACAAGAGTGAGACTCTCTAAAAAAAAAAAGAAAAGAAAAATGGAATAGATTAAGGGCATACAGCATACTGGCAGGAGGCTGATGTTTATGAAGACTGGTGAAGCCTCTCTGATAGGAAGTGAAGGAATGAACCGTGGGAGGCTCTGGGGGAAGAGCCTGCCAGGCAGAGGGGCCAGCATTGCAAAGCCCTGAGGTAGGAGTGTGCGTGGCATCTGGAAAGAAAAGCAAGAAAGCCAGGATAGCCGGGGCAGTGCCAGCTGGTGGGAGATGAGGCCTCAGAGGTGACCAGAACAGTTGTGCAAGGCTTTGGGGCTTTAGTTCTCAGTAAAATGGGAGATCATTAGAGGGTTTTGGGGAGAGGAGTGATGTAATTTTTCAATATTTATTTTGAAAAATTTCCAACCTACAGAAAAATTTCAATAGTGGTACAAAGACCCAGTGTCCTTCACATTGATTCACCAGTTGTTGACATTGTGCCACATACGCCTCTCACCTACCATACATGCTTATCTTGAGGGAATCAGATAACAGGAAGTTGCAGACCACCTGAATCTTTACCCTAAAATATTTCACTATCTATCTCCTAGGAGTAAAGATGCTCTCTTATATAGCTACAATGCATTTATCAAATTGAACTGATACAATATTAGTATATAAAATATGCACTCCGTACTCAGATTGCTCCAATTGTCCATACTTGTTTTTGTGACACTTTGCTTTTTCTGCTCCAGGGTGCAATTCAAGATTACTCTTGACATTTATTGTCATGATATTGTCTGTTTGGTAATCCTTTATTCTAGAACAGTTTCTCAGCCTTTGTCTTCCATAACATTGATGTTTTTAAAAAGCCAGTTCCTCTGTAGAGTGCCTCTCCATTTGGATTGTCTGATATTTTTTTTTCTCAGCATAGATTCAGGGTATGCATTTTTAGAGGAACACTAATACATGACGATGGGTCATTATAAGTGCATCACAGCAGGAGGCACATGATGTCAGTCTCCGCTGTTGTTGATGATGTTAACTTTCATCTCCTAAGATAGGTTCTATCAGATTTTTCCACCTTTAAATGTGCCTTTTTCCTGGGGTGGAGATAGCTTTGAGTCTGTATACATATCCAGTCTCCCAACAAACTGTTACCCAATGTTTTTAGCATTCTTTCATGATTCCTGCCTGCATTTATTATTTTTAAGGTGTATGCAAAATCAACGTGGATTTTAAAAGGATCACTGTGTCTGAACTATGGAGAAGAAAAGGGCCTATAGGGAAAACAGGATGGAAGCAGGAAGAGCGGTTAGGAGGCTGTTGTGATTGTCCAGGCAAGAGATGATGACGAGCAGGCACAGTGGCTCACGCCCCTAAATCCTAACAGACTGGGCAACATGGCAAGTCCCCTGTCTCTACAAACTTTTAAAAATTAGCTAGAGGCCAGGCGCGGTGGCTCACACCTGTAATCCCAGCACTTTGGGAGGCCAAGGCAGGTGGATCACAAGGTCAGGAGTTCAAGACCAGCCTGACCAACATGATGAACCCCCATCTCTACTTAAAAATACAAAAATTAGCTGGGCATAGTGGCATGTGCCTGTAATCCCAGTTACTCAGGAGGCTAAGGCAGGAGAATCACTTGAACCCAGGAGACAGAGGTTGCAGTGAGCCGAGATTGTGCCGTTGCACTACAGTCAGGACAACAGAGTGAGACTCCAACTTAAAGAAAAAATTAGGTATGGTGGCAACATAGTGAAACCCGGTCTCTACTAAATATACAAAAATTAGTTGGGCATACTGGTATGCACTTATAGTCCCAGCTGCTTGTGAGGCTGAGGTGGGAGGATCACTGGAGCATGGGAGGTTGAGGTTGCAGTGAGCCGTGATTGTGCCGCTGCACTCCAGCCTGGGTGACAGAACAAGACCATCTCAAAAAAAAAAAAAAAAAAAAAAAAGCAAAGAAAGATGATGGTGATAGCTTAGCCTAATCTGATGGAAGAAGCAGAGATGGAGAAAAGTGATCACGTCTGCATATATTTTGAAGAACCATCAGGACTGAATATGGGTTATGAGAAAAAGAATGGTCAAGGATAAGGATAAATCCAAAGTTTTTGGCCTAAATGACTAGAAAGATGAAGCTTCCATTTACTAAAAAGTAAGAGAGGAGCAGATCTGAGGAGGGAAACCAAGGGTTTCATTTCACACACATCCCAGTTCTTTGGTAAATTACAGAGCCTTGTCATTGACTGTCGCAAGATAAAATGTCTCTTGAACGTGAAGGTTCTTAGAACCTACTAATGGCACAACCCTCTCCAAGGAGCAGCAGAATACCATATGAATGTTCTGAGTTAAAATTCCAGAGGCAACAAAGAAAGCGTTATTTTTGGAGGACTCGGGTCATAGAAGAATTCTGTTCTCTGACAAGTTTCCTTGTTTCCTTCGTTAGACATCGCTGTGGTTACAGATTCATCATTGCTCTAAAGGTTCAGCATTTTGTCCAGACTTCCTGACTTTCGGCCTGAATAATTGACACAGGTTTTCTAATTGTCCTGTTAATGAGCAGCAGGGTCTCTACGAGAAATCTTGTTTGCTGGCACCAAAGATTGTCCCAGCTTCTTCTCAGTTGAAATATTGCCAAAGGATCGCCAGCTCCTTGGCCTATTGGTAGAGCTCTCCCTCTAGGGTGGTACACAAATGCTGGGGGACAGATGAGTTTGTGGTTCTGCATGTGAGTCTCTCTCCTAAACAATGTTGGTTTTCTGTGTGTTTTTTTGGTCAAATGGGATTATGGTTCTCTTTGAGAGACTGAACCCAAAGGATCCACTCATCAAATAAACTAAGCTTCTGCCAGGTTTTGTCTTAAAACGCAAACATTTTTCTTTTCAGAAATCCGAAGGTAAAAGAAAGCTTTTCTAAAACTACTAAATATGTCCAGAACTCCCTAAGTTAAACTTGACAGAATGTGTTTTTAAGATAATTGACTTCTCTTTTTACAGTATCCCAGTAGTGGTAGTGATTAAAATCAACACACAGGGCTCTGCATGTTTGCTGCTGGGTAGCATACGTTCCAACAACATTAATTAAACAATAACACTTGAGAGGCAAGCATTTCTAGGCATCAGAAACCATTGTGAGGGACTTGGTGTAATATAAGACCTAGCCAGACACTAATCCTCTGGATGTACCTTGTTGCCATTATCATCATTTTTATGATAAAAGGGAAGATACACTGACATACATTTTTTTTTAGCACATGATGAAATTGTAGTTGATATAGCCAGAGTGCTTCCTAAAAACATACGTCCTCAGCTCATAGCAAAGAAACATGGGCCAGCTGTCTTTCAACTTACCTCCTGTTTGGTTTATAGTAATAATTTGGTCAGTCATCAAAGCCTGAACCTTTTGACCTGGCATGGTGCCTCTGTCGGACTTCCTCTGCTCTTTTTAGACAAAGAACCAGTTCTGTATGGATAAAATGGTTTGGCACTTTATATTCATTTCTATGCGAAGCAGTTCTCAAAGTGTAGTCTGGGAGTCCCCAAGACTCTTTCAGGGGGCATAAAGTCAAAACTATTTTCATAATGATACTAAACCATCATTTGCCACTTTCATTCTCATTCTCTCAAGACCAGACAGTGGAGTTTACCAGATAACTGCATGATGTGTGATGATGTCATCACTCTGGCCCCTAATGAAATGTGTACCTATGTGTTTTGGAGTTTAAAAATGTTTCAGTATACTATTTTTATAACTTTTCATGGTTCCGTAATTCAGAATTAAAACTTTTTACCAGCGTGGGTAATAAAGTGAGACCCGGCTCTACAAAAAAAGCCGAGCATAGCAGTGTGTGCTTGTAGTCCCAGCTTCCTGGGAGGCTGAGGTGGGAGGATTACCTGAGCCTGGGAGGTCGAGGCTGTAGTGAGCCAAGATCACAGCACTATACTCCAGCCTAGGTGACAGAGACAGATCCTGTCTCAAAAAACATTGTTTTTTTGACTGTTATTATAGTAAATATTAATAGATATAACTCATATAAAAGCTCTCTGGGATCCTCAGTAACTTTAAGAGTAGAAAGGGATCTTAACACCAAAACACCGAAAATTATAGGATATATAAATAAGATAGAGAGTTCCTTTGAGAACTTAAATAAATTATTTAACCTTTATTTTCTGTCTTTCTGCCTTCCATTCCTTTTTTTTTTTTTTTTTTTTTCATTTTTTTAAATTACTCTTAGTAAAAGCTAGATTACTGGGGCTTTAGCTACATCTGCAAGATACAGCTACAGTGTAAGACCCTTTCAAAGCAACTGCCTTCTATTTCTTGATGGTCTCCTTGCTCAGGAGCAAAGGAAAGTGAACATGTCTTTGTCTGTCCCAAGTCCCTCTGAATAAGATGTTCAGTTTGTCTCATTCACTTCATCACTGATAATTTTTTCTGTGGTTCATGTAAACAGTCTCTTAAGTCACACATTTTAAATCAACTTTATAAAGATACAGACTCACCACTTAGGGCTAAGGTTCAAGAAAGGCTAACCCTCTAGAGGAGAAGAGTAGCCCTCAGCCTGATTTTAATAATGAAAGAAGAAAGTCATAGTTAATCTAGGGATGAAACCTTACCTCTCTGTTGGTGCCTGGAAGTTAAACTATTAGGCTACATTCACATGTAATATTTTTCAACACATGTTAAGCATCTTTTTTACTGTCCAGGGGTCACGTTTTTCTATTAAGAAAGATTAAAATCCATCCACACTATAATGTATCTTAAAATTTTTGCAGCCTCTTTTCTGGGCTGCCGGATACCCTAGTGGCTTACAGAGAAAGTTTCCCTTGAAGTGAAATCGTAGGTCCATGACGATGTATTCCTTCAGTGGTGGTGGAGGGATCACATCATAGAAAGGAGGGACTCACATGCTCTCTACCATTGCTTCCTGTGCACAGTTTCTGTGTTAGACCTTCCGGCAAAATAGCCAAGAAATCCACAGCAGCACATTGGCTTGACTTGCTGGGTCACCTCTGGTACTTCCCTTCAGTCTTCCCTTCCCTGGTGTCCTTACTGGTGGATTTAATCCCATCCAGAGAATGAGCTAGAGATTGACTTGCTGGAAAAGACCTCTTTAATGGCTTTTTTTCTTTTTTCTTTTTTCTTTTTTTTTTTTTTTTTTTTGGCTATGTTCTCCTCTTCCAGTCTTAAGTACATCTGCTTTATTCTGATGGTGCCTTCTGTTCAGAGGCTCCAGCGCACTTACCTGAGTCCTAAAACTACCACTGTGGTGGGGGAGGTGGAGAGACAGGACAGGCAGAACAGACTGGGGCTGCTAGTCTTTTTCCAGCTGGTGAAGTTTTTATAGGGATAAAGCCTCCCAGAATAGAATGGCCCATTGAACAGCAAACACAAAATACTGGTTTTAGGAGAACATTTTCAGCTGTTGCTTTGGCTTTTTAAATTCTTCTTGTTAGAAAGAACTCGCATATGAATTTAATTTCTTTCTGACTTAATATTTTCTCATTTGAGCTTTCACTATATCTTTTTCTTCTTGAGCAAGCAGGTTCAGGAAAACCCCAATTTTTGTCTGTCTTCTTTCCCAATCCTTCTAAACTCTGCCCAAAATTGAAAGGTGATGAGAATTGTTGGTATCATATTATGAAACACTTTGATGAATGGATTTCAGTGCCTATAAGATTGGTGATATGTGGGTTGTCCTCTGCCAGAACTTACTAAACTCTAGGTATCACCTGTAAGTTTAATTTTAGCCTTGTCAACTACAGACCTTTCCTGTAAACTCTATAATTTAAATTTAAGAATACAGTAGTCCCTGTTTATCTGAGGTTTTACTTCTTACTGTTTCAGTTACCCACAGTCAACTGCAGTCTGAAAATATTAAGATGTTCTGAGAGAGAAAAAAGACAGACCTTATTCATATAGCTTTTATTACAGTAGATTATTATAATTGTTCTGTTTTCTTAGTCACTGTTGTTAATCTCTTATTGTGCCTAATTTATAAATTAAACTGTCATGGGTCTGCATGTATGGAAAAATATATATATATATGGTTCAGGACTGTCTGAGGTTTCAGGCATCCCCTGTGGGTCTTGGAACATATCCCCCATGGATAAGGGCAGACTACTCTACTGTGCCTACCCAGGGAGCCTTAGCTATACGGAGTGCATAGGAGCCTGTGCTATTGGTGATCCTTACTTCTCTTGAATACTCCTGGAACGAGGCAGCTGATTGTCCTAAAATATTTATATGCATCCAGAATGCACATGTTAACATTAAAATTTTACCTTTTTTGTCCTTTTTCTTACCTTTCCTCTCAACTTTATAGGGTGATATTCATGAGGATTTTTGCAGCGTTTGCAGAAAAAGTGGCCAGTTACTGATGTGTGACACGTGTTCCCGTGTATATCATCTGGACTGCTTAGACCCCCCTCTGAAAACAATTCCCAAGGGCATGTGGATCTGTCCCAGATGTCAGGACCAGGTACTGTGGGTGGGTCCGATGGGTAAGGGGCTAAAGAGGGCAGAGACACAGCCAGCAGGAGAAATGCCTTTCTCTGGGAATGGCAGTCTCTTCTCTCTCCAAGTCGGTCTTCAGGCTACACCTTCCCTGTTCATGGCACAGCACTCAGGCACACGGCCTTCATTCCCTCAGAAGTTCTCTGCCATATTACTGAGGTGGATAGACTCTTCCTTGTATTTGAAGTGACTTAGCTTCTCTTTAAAAATCAAGACCCTTAAAAGACCATTGTGCCTCATTCTCTAGGAATGGTCCAGGCCAAGTATATGGCTTTAAAACTCTTCTTTGGGAATAAAATCCTTAAGAGAAAGTACCCAGTTGATTAATTAAAATAACATCCTGAGCCAGGCACAATGGCTCATACCTGTAATCCCAGCAATGTGGGAAGCCGAGGCAGGTGGATCACCTAAGGTCAGGAGTTTGAGACCAGACTGGCCAACATGGTGAAACCCCGTCTCTACTAAAAATACAAAATTTAGCTGGGCGTGGTGGCAGGTGCCTGTAATCCCAGATACTTGGGAGGCTGAGGCAGGAGAATTGCTTGAAACCAGGAGGCAGAGGCTGCAGTGAGCAGAGGTTACGCCACCGAATTCCAGTCTGGGTGACAAGAGCGAGACTCCTTCTCAATAAAAATAACATGCATTTCACTTTTTTTTTTTGTTTTTGAGATGGAGTCTCGCTTTCTTGGCCAGCCTGGAGTGCAGTGGCACGATTTGGCTCACTGTAACCTCTGTCTCCCGGGTTCACGTAAATCTCTGCCTCAGCCTCCTGAGTAGCTAGGATTACAGGTGTGGACCAACGCACCCAGCTAATTTTTGTATTTTTAGTAGAGACAGGGTTTCACCGTGTTGGTCAGGTTGGTGACCTAAACTCCTGACCTCGTGATCTGCCTGCCTTGGCCTTCCAAACTGCTGAGATTACAGGTGTGAGCCACCGCGCCCAGCCCACCCATTTCACTTTTAACCTATTTTGTTATATCACGCTCAGAGAACTAACTGTAAAGTATTGTTGATATTTTATAGACTTAAAAGGCAAACATATTACTGTCCTAGCCTGCCTCCTTCTCTGTTTAGTTTCTGATTGCCTTTTCTCAATTATCCATGTATATATATGTCTTTATGATCTTATTATAAGCTGTCTCAAGTCTTTTTTAGAGTTAGGCAAAGTATAAATAATAAATAAGCAAGCCCAATAGCTCAGCAAGCACTGGGGTCCTGCTCAGTCTTTGGAATCCTGCTTTGAACAAATTCTGGTTTTCCCTTGTAAGCTTGTCCTCATCCTGCAGCCTGTGTGGTGCAGCGAACCTCTCACTGTCTTCCTCCTGATGCTCCTTTGTGACCTTCTGATGGCTTTTGACATAGGGTCTAGATTATACTTTTGTATTTGGGACTAATATTTAATTTCCTTGGTCCGGCTGTCTTTGAGAGGCATATAAATCTCAAATTGAGACAGACAGCCCATGTCAGGTCAAGGACGAAACTGCCAGTGGCTGCCACCATCATGCTGAGGTACAGCTTTTGTGTTGGTGGTTCTAGCTGTCGGGAGTGGTTGGGTGTCATCTGGCGTGTACGAAAAGATAGGAATGCTCAGCCAAGTCCAAGCTCCTTCTAAGCCTGGGCTCAAGTGTCCTGGCTCTTCCTGCCTTGAACTTCATTCTCCTAAGCTGATATTTGGAACTTTTTAGTCCAGAAACTAGAGACCAGGGTTTTGCAACACTGCTACCATAAATCCTTCCTGGATTTTATCTGCCAGTAGCCACAGACCCCATTGCTAGCTGTTACCTAGAGGATATGTGTTTAAACCTCCTTCTCAAGGTAAAATTCTAAAAATCTTTTCAGATGCTGAAGAAGGAAGAAGCAATTCCATGGCCTGGAACTTTAGCAATTGTTCATTCCTATATTGCCTACAAAGCAGGTAAGGAGTTATCCATACTCACTTTTTTGTAAGCTTCCCCTTGTTTTTTTTTTTTTTTTTCTTCAAAAAAAGATACTGGCAGTATTTGTTTTATTCTCAAAAGGAAATTTAAAGTTAAAAATGAAAACCTTGGCCTGGTGCAGTGGCTCACTCCTGTAATCTCAGCACTTTGGGAGGCCAAGGTGGGCGGATCACAGGACAGGAGTTCGAGACCAGCCTGGCCAACACGGTGAAACCCCGTCTCTACTAAAGATACAAAAATTAGCGGAGTGTGGTGGCGGGCACCTGTAATCCCACCTACTTGGGAGACTAAGACAGGAAAATGCTTGAACCCGGGAGGCGGAGGTTGCAGGGAGCTGAGATGGAGCCATCGCACTCCTGCCTGGGTGACAAAGCAAGACTCTGTCTGAAAAAAAAAAAAAAAAAAAAAAAAAAAGAAAATCTTTTGCTCTTAACTATTGAAGGAAACAAACCAAAAATGAAAACCTTTTATTGGATGAAGTGGAAATATTGTGTAGCATTTTCTTTTTATTTATTTATTTTTTGAGACAAGGTCTCACTCTGTCGCCCAGGCTAGGGTGTAGTGGCATGATCACAGCTCACTGCAGCTTTCACCTCCTGGGCTCAGTTGATCCTCCTACCTGAGCCTCACGAGTAGCTGAGACGATAGGTGTGTACTCCCATGCCCAGCTAACTTCAGTATTTTTTGGTAGAGACGAGTTTCACCTTGTTGCCCAGGCTCGTCTCAAACTCCTGGGCTCAAGGGATTCACCTGCCTTGTCCTCCCAAAGTCCTAGGATTACAGGCATGAACCACCATGCCTGGTCCGTAGCACTTCTTGGGGGGAAGAAAATGAGATGTGGTATCTCATTTATATAAAGCCAGACCCGAGCCGCTGACGGTTTTCTTAGCATACTGTACACAGAAGAAGGAAAAGTCCAGGTGAGCACTGGCCACTGGCTGTGGGACTCATGGGACTTTGGGGAGAATGTCTTTGGGAGGCATTCTGAGCACAGGGTCCTTTTCAAGGAATTAATTGTCAAAAACTGTTCCTTTTTTTTTTTTTTTCAGCAAAAGAAGAAGAGAAACAGAAGTTACTGAAATGGAGTTCAGATTTAAAACAAGAACGAGAACAACTAGAGCAAAAGGTGAAACAGCTCAGCAATTCCATAAGTGTAAGTAAAGCTCGTGCCTTCAGCTGTCCTTACACAGATGCAGAGACCTGGGCCTGTCCACGTACATAACAGTACGTGTGGACCCCAGGCTGCTTCGGGTCCTTCTGTTTATTAACATTAGTAATTTGGGCAAATGCAGTTTGCCGTCCCATTAGAGTTCAGCCCCCAGGTACAGGCAGCCAGTTGGTAGGTGGTGCCTTACCTAAGCTCTGGAACATCCTCTTGGCTTTCATCTGAAAGAGGGTTCTCAGTCACCAGGCTGCATAAGTAAGAGCTACAACAGTGTAGCCACAGCCCTGCCTATTCCTGACAGTGTGTGGGGGGAGTGTAGTGCCTCACCTGACACTGAGCAGACACAGACCAGGTCCCCTCGTGTGATTCTTCCTAGTCACCTGAGCGAGCGGGCCCATCCACACGGCCCTCCCTTGCTCTTGCTTCCACACCATGCTGATTGCATTTCCCGGTTTTCCTGACCAGTGTGAGGAAGTGGGCTTTCTAGAGACAAGTATTGGAAGTAAGTACTGCCCAGCCCGGCCTGTCCAGGTGGGAAAGAGGGTTGTTTTTGCAGCAGGGGGACAGAGACTCATCCCAGGCAAGGAGCCAGCCTTCTTTTCCATGGAGTCTGTCTACCCTTATTGGAGTGAAGTGACCTCAGCCCTCACACATGCCAGCTGGTGCTTGTACTTGGTGGTGGTTGAACTGTCCCGCTTACCTGCTTTCTCCTCCTCACCATACCTACCCATGGCATGCAGATTTAACACCTCCTTCATCTCTTGCCCTGCCTAAAACAGAAGCCAGCAGGTATGGGAGGCTGAGGGCCAAAGGGGAAAAGACTGCAAGCCCCCGACTGAGCAGAAGGTGATCTATGGGTTGCAGGCCTTTGTCCTTTGGGCTGAGATCCTCCTAAATGTTGCTGGCCCACCCTCGCACTTCCTGCTGCCCCCAGGTGGAATCCAGATAGCACCCTGGAGAGCTCAGTCCAGTCCTGAAGGCCCCCATTAGCATGACAGAAGCATCTGAAAACCTGCCTGAACAGGCTGCAGGGCAGTTGTGGGAACTTTCTGTTTTTAACCTTTGTTTGGAAGTTCTGATGGCAGCTCTGCCGGTTTGCTTTTAAGTGTTAGCACTCCCGCGTGTTCGTGCCCGCATGCCCTCTCCCTCTGTCGCCTCTTGGACTCCCCTAGCCTACCCACTCCACTCGCCCTGTTCCTTAGGTGGGAGCGCCCACTCCGCTGGGGAGCACAGCGAGGCCCAGGGGCTGCACAGCAGCCAGCAGGGGTTCTTCTCCCTGGGCAGAGAGAAGGTGCTCCGCTCTCAGGGGCTGCCAGGCCTGTTAGAATGAGGCGGCTCAGTGCCACTGCCCTTGTCATTTGCTGCAGAAATGCATGGAAATGAAGAACACCATCCTGGCCCGGCAGAAGGAGATGCACAGCTCCTTGGAGAAGGTAAAACAGCTGATTCGCCTCATCCACGGCATCGACCTCTCCAAACCTGTAGACTCTGAGGCCACTGTGGGGGCCATCTCCAACGGCCCGGACTGCACCCCCCCTGCCAACGCCGCCACCTCCACGCCGGCCCCTTCCCCCTCCTCCCAGAGCTGCACAGCGAACTGTAACCAAGGGGAAGAGACTAAATAACAGAGCCCCTCTAGGAGAAGCCACGGGATCCCGGCGGCAAGGAGAGCAGAACACTGAAGACTCTAGAAAAGCAAAGCCGGATTTCCGGAAAGTGCAGAATTCTTTTGGTTCTTTGGTTCCAGAGAGAGAGAAGATGCTTGTGCCAGGTGGCACCAGAGTTTGCCAATTGATCCTTCTTATTCTGTGTGTACATGCAAAGATTGGACCATGTTACATGAAATAGTGCCAGCTGGAGGTTCTTTGCCAGCACCATGCCAAGTGAAATAATATATTTACTCTCTCTATTATACACCAGTGTGTGCCTGCAGCAGCCTCCACAGCCACGATGGGTTTGTTTCTGTTTTCTTGGGTGGGGAGCAGGGACGGGCGGAGGGAGGAGAGCAGGTTTCAGATCCTTACTTGCCGAGCCGTTTGTTTAGGTAGAGAAGACAAGTCCAAAGAGTGTGTGGGCTTTCCTGTTTCTAAACTTTCGCTACTATAAAACCAAAAAAAGGAATTGAGATTCAACCAACCCCAGTGCCCAGAAGAGGGAATGGGAGTGGCTGGAGGGAGCCGGGGGTGGGACGGTGTATCACATAAGCAGTATTTAATCACGTCTGGCGGGGGCCTCGCAGGGGAGACGGACACCGAGGACGGCCAGTAGGTTCTTCTCCCCCGCGCTCTGCCCCCTCCCCGTGGGAACTCCCCATCCTGAAGCCTGCCCAGCCTCCTTCCTTCCCTGCTTGGTGAATCGCGCATCCCCGTGTTATCCCACTGTCTCCTCTCCAAGAACAAGCAGAGCCCAGGCCGCTGGCCCTTGCCTGGGGCAGGGAAGAAGGATGTGTATGTCCAGGAAGGAAAAAAAGGTGGATCAGTGATTTTACTTGAAAACAAGCTCCATCCCTTTTCTATATTTATAAGAAGAGAAGATCTTGAGTGAAGCAGCACGCGACCCAGGTGTGTGTGAATTGAATGGAGACATTTCTTTTCTCTCTTTTTTTTTTTTTTATTTTTGTTTTTGTTCTTTTTTTCTTTAAGGAAAGTTTTATTTTATTGTTCATTTTACTTTCTTGGTAACAAAAACTAAAATAAGGAATAGAAAAGCTGTTTTTCAGGCTGACAGTCCAATTAAGGGTAGCCGAGACCTTGCATGGTAGAGTAGGAATCATAGTGTCAGTGAGGTCCCGTGAGTCTTTGTGAGTCCTTGTGTCATCGTTCGGGCACTGGTTTTTTATGCAAGGGCAAAAATCTTTGTATCTGGGGAAAAAAAAAAAAAACAACTTTTTTTTAAATTAAAAAGGAAAATAAAAGATATTGAGGTCTTCCTAGTGTTACTTAAATTAAGATCAAGGTAAGAAACATTGTAAAAAAAAATTACAAAAGTGCTATTTGTTTCCTAAAAACAGTGATTTCTATTAAAAAGGTGTCAGAACTGGAGAAAATGCCGTGTAGTTACCATTTTTTAGCACAGACCCTGCTGATGACGATGACATTTTGCCGTGTGTGTCTCTAGACTGTGGGCCAGTCTCCTTGACAGACCGGGTGGAGCTCCCCGCCCTTCCCTCTCCTCAGAAAAGACCGTGCTCTCTTCTTGGTGCAGGGATCTTGTCTCCTGTTGTGAAGCCCAAATGGAAGTCTGGCCGGTGTCAGGGCCCTCCCCATGGTCTTCTTAGATTCCGCTAGAGCAAAAGGCTGGTGCCTAAATAAGATCCCTTCCTTTGGTGCTGCTTTTGGTCTTTCAGCCACCAGCATTACGAGTGCCTGGGGGACACCTCCAAGGGAACTGGCCAGTGGAGCTCAGTGGTGCCCATGCACCCTGGCTGTGGCAGGAGGGTGCGGGAGTGCAGGCTGGCTGCATCAGCCTTTGGTGCTTAGAAAGAACAGAGGAGTGACATGTCTCGAGGGTATGTCTCTGAGACAGAGCCCCAGGGTGGCCTTCGCTCTGACTTGCTTTTGGGGAGAGGTCTGAAGCTGTCGCTCCTTTCTCTGCCTGTTGGCCGCAGGCACCAGAAATGGAATTCATTCCACTCGTCCCACCCACAAGTCTCCTGGGTGACCCTTGGCTAGAATTGCTGCGCTTGCCTTGGCTTGGCCTGTTGTGGCCCCTCCTTCTTGAGAAAACCAGGGTTCTGAAAGGCTCAGACCATTCTCTCATCTTGCCTTGTGGGAAGTAAACGGTGTCAGATGCGTGCTCTGGCTGGAGACCTTTTCCTCTTGAGTGCCCCTGGCTGCCGGAGGGCAGTGGAGGCTCGGTACCCGGGCCTGCTGGAGCATCTCCCCGAAGCCCACTCCAGACCCTGGTAACAGCCAGAGTCGGGGAGGGATAGAAACGGTCCCATTAGCTTCTCTCCCACCCAGTTAGGCCCAGAGAGACAAAAGACAGATCTGAAAGCAAATTCAACAGAGAAGAGATGCTTCTTAGAGGAAAATGTGTCTCATCCATATCAGCTGTCGCCATTCATCTTCCCAAGGACCTCAGAAGAGGGAGTTAAGTTTGGCTGAACAGGCCTCAGTTAGGCCCTGGCTGCTTGATTGGCTGACGGGGAAAGAGTTCCCTTTTCTCAGAAACCAAGGTGCTGTGCCTGGTCAGGGAGCCTTGGAGATGCCTGGACTAGCTGGAGGAATCGGTGGCAGAGGATCAGAGACCAGCAGCAGGCTGCCTGCCCCGTCTAGAGCTCTTCCCCTCAACTTGTCTGGGCCCATCTCGGGGTTGCCGCAACAGTTAACTCTCCTTTTCCTGAAAGAAGTTGGGAAGCCATCATCACTAGAGGCCTTTGCTCAGAGAGGAGCTGCCTGAGGAGTCTCAGGGGTAGGGGGGATGAGGCTAGGAATTGACTGGAGCTTTGCCTGCCGCCCTGAGCAGCGTGAGTACGTTCTGACCTCGCCTGCAGCCGGTGTGGATTCTTCCTGACATTCAGATGTGAGCTGTTTTGGGAGTCAGCTAGTATGGAGTGCAAGATGGAATCCTGCCCACAAACCTATATTCTGGACTCGAATTCCAAAACACTGCTTTACTGTGAAAGAAGAGGCCCCCCGGCACTCAACCTCCCCGTCCTTCACTGTCCCCCCAGACTGCCAGAGACACATGCTCCTGACACTGCCCCGCCCAGCCACCTCCACTTGCTTCCTCCTCCTTCCTTTCGCTGCTGTTTCCCCATGGCCCAGAATTTAGCTGCTCTGACAGCTACTTATCTGAGACCAGCTGGCTTTGCAGTCACTTCGGAGAGCTGGAGTGGCTGCCCACTGGGCCCTGCCTGGGAGTCCCCTGCCAGCTCCTGATCAGGCGCTGCGCCCTGGTGGCGGTGAGGTCATGTTGCTGTCATCTCCACCTCTGCATTCTTGCTGCCTGCGGGTCCTTTTTCTTTCATGGAGCCTGCTGGGTCTTGTCTCACCTGTGCTGAGCTCATTGGGGTTTTGATTTCTTCCTTCCTTATTAGGCCCTTTGTGGTAAGCCTGCTGGTTGTACCTGACAGGGGTAGACAGCTACGGGCAGTCCCTGGTGGGGCCACCCTGGCAGCCTCCAGCTGGCACCATCGTGTGCCTGGTTTCCCTGCAAGGCCTGTCTCTCTGTCCCTGCTGCTGCTTGGCTCAGGCCCAGCAGGCAGTGTGCGTGGGCCAGGTGCACGCAGCTGTGTCTGTGCAGGTGGCCGTGTCTGTAGCACACTTCTGTCTCCGCATGCACGCTGCCTCTCCTGCCACCTCTGATACTTCTCTCTTGGGGCTAACGGAGCCCTTGGGCTCTCCCCTCCCAGCTCACACACACTCTTCAGAGGTTTCTTCCCTTCATTCCCTTGTAGGGCGTGGTCCTTTTTACTTATCTAAAGGGCTGAATTTAGGAGACTACCCAGAGGCAAAAGGCTCTTAGGGTAATGGGATGGAGCGCGGCCCGGGGCATTTTCCAGGGCCTGTGTCTCCAGATCCCGAGGCTTCTGTTGAGTAGAGGCAACTTTGCTCTGTGTGGACCTCGCCCCTGCCCTCAGCCAGGCACCCCTGGCAGGAAGCAGGACTCCCATCCTCACCCTTAGACTGTCCTCCGAGTCAGCTCCTCTGGGCAGTCTTCTGGCCCCCTCGCTAAAGTGAGAGGCAGGAAGCTGGGGCTGCCCTCCAGAAAGCCGGGGTAGGAACTCTGAAAAGTAGCTCCTGTAAACAGAAGCAGGGCTCCCCAGTTCCACTTGGCACCCCCTCCCACAAGACCCTTCCTCCCTGAGGACCCAGCCTCCCCCGCCCCTGCCCGTCCCCAGCAGCCTTTGGGCCCTCACCTCTCCCCGGTCTCCGTGGGTCCTCAGTCCAGGTGAGCCGCAGCCAGGCGGTGGGGACGGGCAGGCCAGAGGTCAGCCAGCTCCTAGCAGAGAAGAGCCAGCCAGACCCCAACCCTGTCTCTTGTCCATGCCCTTTGTGATTTCAGTCTTGGTAGACTTGTATTTGGAGTTTTGTGCTTCAAAGTTTTTGTTTCTGTTTGGTTTTTGTTTTGAGGGGGTGGGGGGGATACAGAGCAGCTGATCAATTTGTATTTATTTATTTTAACATTTTACTAAATAAAGCCAAATAAAGCCTCTTAGCCTCATGGTGTTGGGTTTGGGGCAGGGGAGGGTGGGCAAGACACATTCCAGCCCAGCCTCTGCCCTCTCTGACTGGCTGTCTGGTAATGGGAGGCTTTCCCTTAAGGGCCCAGGCCCTCCTGTGACCCCAGCTGCTGGATGTAATACCTCCCTTGTGCACTCACGCCCTAGCCCCAGAGCACCCTTGCTCCCCCAAACTAGGAGGAACACAAAAAGGATTTTTTAAAACTTTAATTATGAAAAAGGGATGAACAATTGAAGATGGGGGAACCAGCCCCAAACTGGCTGGGGCAGAGGGAGGCCAGACCCCAGCCATACAATAGCAGCAAGGGGAAGACCCCACCCCACAGATGCTCCTCCCCAGCCCTTCCCAGAGACCTTAAATAATTTAAATAGCAGGGATAGCGGAGGGCAGGCTGGGTTGCCCTGGTGTCTGCCCAGTGCTAAGAGGAGCAGCCTCAGGAGCCTCGGGCAGGGCTCCAGGGCTGCTGCAGGGCTGGGAGGTATTTGAGGGCAGCAGCCCCATAGTGGCGGGACAAGTCCTGGTGGAATTCGTCCTTGAGGGCCTGGAGGCAGCCACGATAGGTGGGGCTGGAGCGGAAGCGAGAGATGTCCAGGCTTGGAGCGTGGGGCAGATGGATGGTGAAGGCCTCGGGCAGCACCAGGAACTCATATTCCTGCAGGGTGGGGCAGAGGAGCAGTGACTGCGTGGCTTGCCTGGCCTTTGGGGGAAAGTGCTGCTCCAGGCTTACCCTGTATCCCCAAGAGCTAAAGCAAGGGCCAAAGGGCAGAGGATTTTAGTTCTGCAGAAGGGGCATGTTTCTAACAGTGCTGCCCAGCTATGTGGTCCCCCAGGCAGAAGTTTCCAGAGTTCCCCAGACCTGGAGGTGCTCGAATCAAAGGTGGTGGCAGCAAGGCACCCTCCTCACCTGGGCATCCAGCTCCACGATGTGGGCCACCTTGTTCCAGCCGAAGCCCACAAATCGAGGGTCATAGCGGGGACAGTCACGTGGCACCACCACATAGGGTTCATAGTCGGCCACCCACTGCACACCGTATGGGGCCTGAGCCTCCCGCCAGCGGGCATAGTCTGTGGGTGCGTGGCCCCGGGGCCACTCGTGGTACCTGTGCAGCAGGGTCGGATGGGAGCCAGGCTGAGGCTAGGAGCTGGTGGACAGCAGGGGCAAGTGTGTGGCGTGGCCAGAGAAGAAGCCCCACCTACCTGAAGGTGTAGACAGCGCCTGCATCCAGCAAGGCCAGCAGCTCCACCTTGGAACGGGGGAAGCTGAAGTGGTAGTGCAGGGTCTCGAATGCTGGCACCACCAGCGCTGCCTTCCGCCGGCTGCCCAGCCCCAGCTGCTCAATGGAGGCCCTGAAGAGGAGCACCCATGAGCAGGGGAGAAGAGCGGGGCCTCCAGGACTGGGCCAGTGACCCTCATGGGGGCATTAGCCGTAGGACCTGACCCCCACAGGCCGTCTTGCCTGATGCGATGGGTGGTCACAAGCGCAGGTGGCGCTGCTGCTGAAGCAGGTCCTGCCCTCCCCTGTTGGCAGCCCAGAGAAACAGCCTACCTAATACAACCCCCACTTGACAGAGGCCACTGTGGCCCAGAAAGGGGCAGAGACTTAGAGGCCCGGGGTCCCCGCACATGCCCTGTCCACATCCTCCCCAGGCCCACCTGAGGTAGTCGTAGAGAGAATAGGCGGGCAGGAAGTCAATGTCACTGAGGAAGACGTAAGGCGTGAGGGCCTGGGCTAAGGCCACATTGCGGAGCTGGTTGACAGGGTACAGGGGCCCCTCACGGTACACCACGTGGTAGGCCACGTCCTGCCGGGCAGAGAGCACTGGGGAGGCCTCAACGAAACGCAGGAACTGCTGGGCTTCTGCGTCTGTCAGGTACAAGGCCAGGCTCATGGGGCCCGGCCAGTGCCTGCACAGGGCTTCCAACATCTGCAGCCTAGGGGGACGGGAGGTCAGCACAGCTGACATAAGAGCTCAGGGAGGCCTGGACAGCCTCCTCAGTTAGCTGCTGCCCTCTCCTCAAGTGACTGACTGAGCACCCTGCAAGCACTTACAGAGCCAGTCTAACTGAATCTTCACAACTACCCTACTAGGTGGGTACCTTCTTGGAGAGAGAAAACTAAGGGTCAGAGATAGGAAGACTTGCCCATGGTCCCACAGCGACCGAGGGGCAGTTCTGGGCATCTGGATGACTCCAGTGCCCAAGCTCTTTGCACCACATCCAATGTCTCCAACTTCTGGAACTCCTTGAGGGCCAGACAGCTCACTGCCACAGCATCAGGCTGCCAGATGGAACCTCCGCTCAGAAGTGTCCAACCCCAGCCCATGCCGTACCCCCTGGGCTGCCCTCTGCACCCTCACCGGTCCATGGACAACTGGGCCACAAGGGTGACATCGTGAGGCCGGGAGGGTGGCGGCTCATGAGGCAGGAAAGTGACGTGCACGCGGTGCACAGTGAGCTGCTGCTGCTGGAACTCAAAGCAGGGGTCTTCCTCATCAAGCTGTGTCAGGGCCTGCTGCAACTGAGGGGGCCAGGGGTGAGAAGGACTAGGGGTAGGGCAGAAGGACATGTCCCCCAGACAAGGCTGTGTCCCACCAGAGCAGAGAGGCGCAGCGGAAGGTGGCTCCCTCTCACCTGCTCAGCGCCAGACGGGGGCTGGCTGGGGCACCCAAACAGCCCTCTCCGCAGCAGGTTCCCATCGTACTCCAGGAAGGTCAGGTAGACATTGCGGAAGAATTCCACATGCTTGTTCTTCACCCGAAGCTTCTTTGGCGAGTTCCAGTGGATCACCTGGGACCCGGGAGAGTGTTGGGGCTATGGGAACGGGGAGCAGGAGTCCCCATCCGTAGCCCCCCACCACCACGCAGCCTCCTGTCCCACTCACCTTGAGGTCAGACGCCTCGGAGTAGCAACGCTCAGCCAGTGTGTGGTCGGACAGCTGCACATTCCAGACGCAGGGCAGAGGCTGCACCAGCCCCGGGTGCTCCTTGATCACAGCGTTAAAGATGTCCTGAGCAGAGACACCCATCACACCCCAGCCCCCAGCCTGCCACCCCCAACCCAGCAAGGCTTCCCCAGACCTGGTCAGCCAGTGAGGTGGCAGGTAGAGTAAGGAGCTCCCGCCTGGCCGTCAGCTTCCACATCTGCTCCCAGCCAGCCTGCCGGAGCCGGTCGAGCCGCAGCAGAATCACACCTGCCAATGGGGAGATGCTGCCATGCCCGCCTGGGACAACCAGCTCCTGGGGGACATGGGTCATGAAGGTGTCCTTTGTTTTTTGACTTACTGGTATTTTCTGACTGTTCACATATGATTATGGACTACTTTTTTTTTTTTTTTTTTTTTGAGATGGAGTTTCACTCTGTCACCCAGGCTGGAGTGCAGTGGCATGATCTTGGCTCACTGCAACCTCCACTTCCCGGGTTCAAGCAACTCTCCTGCCTCAGCCCCACAAGTAGCTGGGACTTCAGGTGTGTGCCGCCACACCTGGCTAATTTTTATTATATTTAGTACAGATGGGGTTTCACCATGTTAGCCAGGATGGTCTCAATCTCCTGACCTCGTGATCCACCTGCCTTGGCCTCCCAAAGTGCTGGGATTACAGGCGTGAGCCACTGTTCCCAGCCTTTTTTTTTTTTTTTTAAAACAGATAGGGTCGCTGGGCGCGGTGGCTCACGCCTGTAATCCCAGCACTTTGGGAGGCTGAGGCGGGTGGATCACAAGGTAAAGAGATCGAGACCATCCTGGTCAACATGGTGAAATCCCGTCTCTCCTAAAAAATACAAAATATCAGCTGGGCATGGTGGTGCATGCCTGTAATTCCAGCTACTCAGGAGGCTGAGACAGGAGAATTGCCTGAACCCAGGAGGCAGAGGCTGCGGTGAGCCGAGATTGCGCCATTGCACTCTAGCCTGGGTAACAAGAGCGAAACTCCGTCTCAAAAAAAAAAAAAAAAAAAAAAAAAAAGAGACAGGGTCTTGCTTTGTTATCCAAGCTGGAGTGGTGTAGTGGCACAATCAGGGCTCACTGCAGCCTCGATCTCCCACGCTAAAGCAAACCTCCCACCTCAGCTCCCACCCCCACCCCCACCCCGGAGTAGCTGGGGCCGCAGGCATGCTACCACACCTATTCTTTTTATTTATGTATTTATGTACTTATTTATTTTTGAGACAGAGTCTTGCTCTCTTGCCAAGGCTGGAATGCAGTGGTGTGATCCTGACCCACAGCAACCTCTGCCTCCCAGGTTCAAAGTGATTCTCCCACCTCAGCCTTTCAAGTACGTGACACCATGCCTGGCTAATTTTTGTATTTTTATTAGAGACAAGGTTTCACCATGTTGGCCAGACTGGTCTCAAACTCCTGAACTCAAGTGATCCGCCCTCTTCGGCCTCCCAAAGTGCTAGGATTACAGGCATGAGCCACCGCGCCAGGCCAATTTTTTAATGTTTGTGGAGACGGGTCTTACTATGTTGCCAAGGCTGTTCTCAAACTCCCGGGCTCAAGCAATTCTCCCACCTTAGCCTCCCAAAGTGCTGGGATTACAGGCATGAGCCACTGTACCCAGCTTGCTCATGGACTGCTTCTGTCAACAGTCAATCCTCTTGGGGGTGAAGGGGAGGTGCTGCACGCTGCCCAGCTTACCAAGCACCTCCACGGGCTTCTTCTCACACTTGGTGATCCCAGGACTGTTCAAATTATCCCCATTTAGTGGATGAGAAAACTGAGGCTCAGAGGGAGCACAAGAGCTGGCCAAAGTCATCCAGCACACACAGGACTGTTGGAAGTGCTGCCTGACTCTTCACCCAGGGTTCTTTCCATAGCACTGTTCTTCCTGGGGGGATTCCTAGCATTCTTTGCCCCTTTTGCCCTAGGGTCCCAAGGACCAGCAGACCACCCTGCCTGCCTCCCCTCACCACTGTCCCCACCTGTGTTAAATCCCCGGCCCAAGGCAGGCCAGGGTCTGTGGTTCTTCCAGA